CGGGGGGGGCAACGGGGCCGCCCCCCCCCCCAAAAAAAACCACTACCGGGACCCCCCAGGGCAGGGCCAGCCCCCCCGAGCCCCCCGGTGGGGTTTCCCCTCTCCATGGTTCTGATGGGGCGGGCATCGGGAAAAACGGGGCGGGGGTCCCGGTCACCCCGGGGGGTCCCCACGGTGATCTCGGGGCCGGGGTCGCCCCGTTATTCCCCTGGCTCCTCCTGGGAGCGCTGCCCGATGCCGGTGCGGGTGGGCAGGCTCCCCCTGTGCCCCCCCCCCGAGCATCCCCGTGTTGGGGCCGGGACCCCCGCGACCCCCGGGGGTCCCCGTGCCCCCCAGGCCGCGCTGGGATGTCCTTGTCCCTCCGGGAGCGCTGCTCCTGCAGCACTTCCCGGTGTCGGGACGCTCCAGACCGGGCAGCTTCGCCCCCTCCCCGAATTTCAGCGCCCCCCGGGGGTCCCCAAGCCCCCAACTCCCGGCGGGCACCCCCGGGCCGGGCTCCGCCGGTGCCGCTCCCTGCTGGGACCTCCCGGTGCTCCTGCAGCACTTCCCGGTTCCGGGACGCTCCAGACCGGGCAGATTCACCCCCTCCCCGAATTTCAGCGCCCCCCGGGGGTCCCCAAGCCCCCAACTCCCGGCGGGCACCCCCGGGCCGGGCTCCGCCGCTCCGCTCGCTGTTGCAGCTGCGGCTGCACCGAGCTGCGCCCGGTTCCACCGGGGCCGGCACCGAGCGGGGCCGGGGGGGCTCCGGGGCCGCCGGGGGGTCGGGGGCAGCCCGGGGGGCGGGCGCACTTGCCGGGACGCGCATCCATCCCGCCGCACTTGCCGGGAGCCCCCCCCGCCCTCCTCGCTCTCCCGATGTATTTTTTGCTGTCCCCCCCCGGCATGGCCCCGCTGTGGTGGCTGCTGGGCTCGCTGGTGGCCGCGGTGGCGGGGGGGGGGTCGGTGGAGCAGCCCCCCGCCTCCGAGCCCGCCTGCCCCGTGTGCCTGTGGCGGCGGCAGAGCAAAGAGCTGCGGCTGGAGAGCATCAAGTCGCAGATCCTGAGCAAGCTGCGGCTGAAGGAAGCGCCCAACATCACCCGGGAGGTGGTGAAGCAGCTGCTGCCCAAGGCCCCCCCGCTCCAGCAGCTCCTGGACCTCCACGACTTCCAGGGGGACTCGCTGCAGCACGACGAGTACCTGGAGGAGGACGAGTACCACGCCACCACCGAGACCGTCATCAGCATGGCCCAGGAAAGTCAGTGCCGCCCTTTGTTCCGCTGCNNNTCCCGCTGCCCCGCCGCCCTCCCCGCTCGGCACCGATGGCCCTGCGGGGCGCCCCGGCCTCCCCGAGCCCCCCCCGGGGGTCCCCGAGTCACCCGCGGGGGTCCTCGAGCCCCCCCCGCGCCCTTCTGGTCCCCCCCGGTTCGTGCGGGTCCCGCGGGGACGCTTCGTGTGCGCGGGGATGGGGACAAGGGGACAACGGGGGACAACATGGGGACAACGAGGGGACAGGGGGACAGCGGACAGGGGGACTGGGAGAGGGGACTGGGAGAGGGAACTGGGACTGGGAGAGGGAACTGGGACTGGGAGAGGGGCCCCGTGCTGGGGAGCAGGAGCTGGCACGGGGGACTGGGGCTGGGGACAGGGTGCTGACACTGGGACTGGGAGGTGACACTGGGGACTGGAGACTGGCACTGGGGACTGGGACTGGGACCTCAGGTCTGGGAGCGGGGACAAGGGGACAACGGGGGACAACATGGGGACAACGAGGGGACAGGCTGACAGCGGACAGGGGGACTGGGAGAGGGGACTGGGAGAGGGAACTGGGACTGGGAGAGGGGCCCCGTGCTGGGGAGCAGGAGCTGGCACGGGGGACTGGGGCTGGGGACAGGGTGCTGACACTGGGACTGGGAGGTGACACTGGGGACTGGAGACTGGCACTGGGGACTGGGACTGGGACCTCAGGTCTGGGAGCTGGTCCTGAGTGCTGGGAGCTGGGACTGGGGACCTGCAGCTGGCACTGAGTGCTGGGGTTGGGGACAGGGTGCTGACACTGGACTGGAACTGGGAGCTGGGGACACAGGACTGGGACTGGGATTGGGGACTGGAAGCTGGAGCTGAGTGTTGGGAACTGGGACAGGGGACTGGGGACACAGGACTGGGAGCTGGGACTGGCACTGGGAGCTGGAGCTGAGTGCTGGGAGCTGGTACTGGATGCTAGGACAGGGGACTGGCACTGGGACTGGCACTGGGACTGGGACTGGCAGCAGCACCCGGCCCAGCACCAGCACTGGGACCTGGCCCTGGGTACTGGGACCAGAAACTGGGGACTGAGACTGGGAACTGGGATTGGGACTGGGACTGGGAACTGAGACTGGGAACTGGGACTGGGACTGAGACTGGGGACTGGGACTGGGGACTGGGATTGGGACTGGGACTGGGAACTGAGACTGGGGACTGGGATTGGGGACTGGGACTGGGAGCTGGAACTGAGACTGGGAGGACACCAGGGAGTGGGAACTGGGGACTGCAGGCTGAGATTGGGGCAGGGACTGGGAGCTGGGACTGGGGACTGGGAGCCAGGACTGGAACTGGGGACAGGAACTGGGGGATTGAGACTGGGGACTGAAACTGGGGGACTGGGACTGGGGACTGGGACTGGAACTGGGAGTTGGGACTGGGAACTGGGACTGGAACTGGGACTGGAACTGGGACTGGGAACTGGAACTGGGAGTTGGGACTGGGACTGGGAACTGGGACTGGAACTGGGACTGGGAACTGGGACTGGAACTGGGACTGGAACTGGGAGTTGGGACTGGGACTGGGAGCTGGCAGTGGGGACCGTGACCCGTCACTGCGTGCTGGGACCTGGCCCTGGTGCCTGGGGACCTGGGGACTGTCACCACGCTGGCACCGCTCAGCGGTGGCACTGGGACCTGGCACTGGGGGCACGGGGCAGGTGACACGGTGACCCCGCGGTCCCCAGGGCACGTGGCGGGGTGACAGCAGGGTGACAGCAGAGTGACAACAGGGTGACAAACAGGGTGACAGACAGGCTGGCAGCAGGGTGACGGTAAGGTGACATCAGGGTGACGGCAAGGCCACAGCAGGGTGACAGCAGGGCCGTGCTGGGGACAGGCCAGCGCAGCCAGGGGTCCCCGCTGGGACAGCGGGAGGGGACACGGGGACTTGGCCGCGCCTGGCTCGGCTCCGCCCCCTCCCTGCCTCAGTTTCCCCCGGGATTTCTCCACCTGCTCCCGGCGCGGGACCCCCGGGGCGACCCCCGGGGGGGCGAGGGGCCGGGGGCGAAGGGCGAGCGGAAGGGAGGGAGGTGTGAGGCGCTGCCGCCCCCTCCCCGAATTTCCTTCCCAGGCATTAAATGCGCTCGGGCGGCTTTGAAATTTTATTACCCATAAAATTGACGACACGCTGGGGTTTTCCTCCCCGGGCCTCGGGCCCCCCCTCCCCGCCCCTTTGGCAGCTCGGGGGCCCCCCAAAATAAAGGGCAGAGCCCCTCCTCCCCCCGGGGGTCCCGCGGGCCCGGACCCCCGGCCGGATGCGCCCCAGGGAGGGGAGTGGGGGGCTCCTCTCCGTTATTATTTTGATTTTTTTTCCCCCTCCCCGCTCGCCCCCCCCGGGCAATTGCGGGGTTTTTATGGCTCCTGAACAGAAGGAGGGGAAGGCGCTTTATGGGCGCAGCAGAGCCATAAAGATCTCGGGTTCCCCCCGGCCGCCCCCCCGGGACGAGCCGCGAGGGTTAATTGGCTCCTAAACCCCCCGAGGGGCTACCCGTGACCCCCGCGACCCGCGGGGGGTGGGGGAGCTTAATGAGGCCCTGGGGGGGGGTCCGCCCGACCCCCCCCCCACCGCGCCCGGTGTCCCCCGGCACGGGCAGCGCGGGGACAGCGACAGCGGGGTCCCCAAGGAGGGGCTTTGGGGGCTCTGCAGGAGCGGCCCCGGCGGCACCTGGAGCCCCAAAACCCCACCTGGAGCCCGAAATCTCCACCTGAACCCACACATCCCCACCTGGAGCCCCCAAATCTCCATCTGGAATCCCAAATTCCCACCTGGACACCCCATCCCCGCCCGGGTGACAAAGCCCCCCCGAGCTGCTGGGGGGTGTGAGGGGGGGTCCCCGCGGCCCCCAGCCCCATTTGCGAGCTGGCCCGGGGAGGGGAGGCGACATTCCCGGTGTCGTGACCCCCGCGGGGCCGGCGCAGCAAATGGCCCCGCGCTGCAGCTGGGCGCTATTAAACCTGACCGGTGCGGGCAGGGGGCGGGGGCTGCGCCGGGGGGGGGCAAATTCCCAGCTCAATTCGACACAGATGTGGGGCCGGGCCGGGGGGACCCCCGGAATGCTCGGGGGTGTCACCGCCCCCGCGCTGGTGGCGCTGCGTTTTGTCACCTGCCGGGTTTGGGGGGGCTGCGGGAGCCTCCCCCCCACCTCGAGGTGTGGGGTGCGGGGTTCGGGGGGTGGGAGGTGCTGGGACCCCCACCCCGCGGATCCCTGGGGAGGAAGGGCGGCCCCGAGCAGGTGCTGCGGGCCCGGAGCCCCCCGCCCCACACAGGCCGGGACCCCCCCGCGGGGGGCTCGCTCCGGGCCCCTCCCGAGCCCCCCGGGGCCGCGGGTCAGGGGGCAGGGGGGGACCTCCTCGCGGGCGACCCCCGGGGCGGCCTCTGACCCGACCTTCACCTCCGCAGGGCCGGGGAGGGGCTGCCCCGACCCCGAGAGCTCGGGGGTCCCGCAGCGGGGCCGGGGGGGTCCGGAGTGCGGCTCGGGGGTCCCGGTGTGGGGCTGGGGATTCCAGAGAGCGGCTTGGCTGGGCCGGGGGCTTCCCGGAGAGGGTCTCTGGCCCCGGAGTGGTGCTGAGGGGTCCCAGAGAGGGTCTCTGGTCCCGGTGTGGGGCTGGGGGTCCCGGAGTGGTGCTCAGGGGTCCCAGAGAGGCTCTCGGGGGTCCCGGAGTGCTGCTGAGGGGTCCCAGAGAGGGTTTCTGGTCCCGGTGTGGGGCTGGGGGTCCCAGAGAGGCTCTCGGGGGTCCCGGAGAGCTGCTCAGGGGTCCCAGAGGGTCTCCGCTCACGGTGCAGGGCCGGGGGTCCCGCAGCCAGTCCCGGCTGTCCCGCAGCGCGCTGCGGGGGTCCCACCGGGGGTCCCGAGCCCAAACCTGACCCCTCCTCTCCCCGCTCCCCCCGCAGCGGACCCGGCGGTGCAGATCGAGGGCAACCCGCACTGCTGCTTCTTCAACTTCAGCCCCAAGATCATGTTCACCAAGGTGGTGAAGGCGCAGCTCTGGGTGTACCTGCGGCCGGTGCAGCACACCTCCACCGTGTACCTGCAGATCCTGCGCCTCAAGCCCGTCACGGACGAGGGCAGCCGCCACATCCGCATCCGCTCGCTCAAGATCGAGCTCAACTCGCGCTCCGGCCACTGGCAGAGCATCGACTTCAAGCACGTCCTGCAGAACTGGTTCAAGCAGCCCCACAACAATTGGGGCATCGAGATCAACGCCTTCGACCCCAACGGCAACGACCTGGCTGTCACCTCGCTGGGGCCCGGCGCTGAGGGGCTGGTGGGTGGCACTGCCCGCGGGGTGGGGCTCAGGGGGTCCCCAGAGCGGGGACAGGGGCTTTGGGGTGTCCCCAGAGGGGGGACAGGGGGTTTGGGGTGTCCCCAGAGGGACGCCAAGGGGCTGGTGGGTGGCAGTGCCCACCCGGGGGGACACGGGGGGTTTGGGGTGTCCCCAGAGAGGGGACAGGGGGTTTGGGGTGTCCCCAGAGGGACGCCAAGGGGCTGGTGGGTGGCAGTGCCCACCCGGGGGGACACGGGGGGTTTGGGGTGTCCCCAGAGAGGGGACAGGGGGTTTGGGGTGTCCCCAGGGGTCACTGGGTGGGTGGTGGGATGGGACTGGGGGATGGTGACAGCTCCGAGGGGTGGTGGCAGTTTAGGAAGGGGGGTCACAGGTGAGGACAGTGACAGCTCTGGGACAGTGACAGCTCCGTGGGGCTGGTCACAGCTTTGTGGGGACAGCAACAGCTCCATGGGGACAGTGACACTCTCGTGGGGTGGGTGGCAGCTCTCTGGGGCTGGGGACTGCCTGGAGTCACAGGAGTGGGGACAGTGACAGCTCCGTGCGGACAGTGACAGCTCCGTGGGGACAGTGACAGCTCCGTGGGGCTGGGGACGCCTCCAGGGCATGCCACCACCCCCTGGCACAGCGCAGCCGGGCTGGGTGGAGCAGTGTGCAGTGGGGCAGTGTGTCACCATTGTCCCCACCATTGTCCCCTGTGTCCCCTCACCACTGTCCCCTCACCACTGTCCCCTCACCACTGTCCCTTCACCACTGTCCCTTCACCACTGTCCCTGTCCCCTCTCGCCTGTCCCCTCACCTCTGTCCCCTTTGTCCCCTCCCTGCTGTCTCCGTCCCCTCACCCCTGTCCCCCATGTCCCCTCTCCACTGTCCCTGTCCCCTCCTGGCTGTGCCCCGTGTCCCCTCACATCTATCCCTTGTCTCCTCACCCCTGTCTCCCGTGTCCCCTCCTGGCTATCCCCCCGTGTCCCTCCCCGCTGTCCCTGTCCCCTCCTGGCTGTCCCCCCTGTCCCCTCCTGGCTGTCCCTTGTGTCCTCTCACCCCTGTCCCCTATGTCCCTCCTCGCTGTCCCCGTCCCCTCGCTGTCCCCAGCACCCCTTCATGGAGCTGCGCGTCCTGGAGAACAACAAGCGCTCCCGGCGGAACCTGGGGCTGGACTGCGACGAGCACTCCACGGAGTCGCGCTGCTGCCGCTACCCGCTCACCGTGGACTTCGAGGCGTTCGGCTGGGACTGGATCATCGCCCCCAAGCGCTACAAGGCCAACTACTGCTCGGGCCAGTGCGAGTACATGTTCATGCAGAAGTACCCGCACACGCACCTGGTGCAGCAGGCCAACCCGCGCGGCTCGGCCGGGCCCTGCTGCACGCCCACCAAGATGTCCCCCATCAACATGCTCTACTTCAACGACAAGCAGCAGATCATCTACGGCAAGATCCCCGGCATGGTGGTGGATCGCTGCGGCTGCTCCTAGAGCCGCGCTGCCTCCCCGCTGCCCCTCCGAGCGAGCCCCCGCTGCCCCCCGCGGGCTCCTCAGCATTTTTTCCGCTCTTTTTTTTTTTTTTTTTTTTTCCTTTTTTTTTTTTTCCTTGTATTTTTTTGTTGTTGGTTCGGGGCGGGGCGGGAAGCGCCAAGTGACAAAGGCCAAGCGTTGAAATCGGTTTGGATGGTGGAGGAGAGAGGAGGAGAATGGCACGGAGCAGCGAGCCCGCGATCCCACGCGCATTGTGCAATAAAGCGACCGGACGGAGAAGGGAAGGGGGGGCCGGGACCCCCACGCCGCGGTGGCGACACGGGGACACCGCGGGGACACGGCCCCGGGTGGCGGCTCCCCCGGGCCAGCCCAGCAGGACGAGGACGAGGAGGAGGAGGAGGAGGAGGAGGAGGAAGAGCGAGCGCGCCCCGCGTCTCCCCGAGCTCCTGGAGCAGCGCTGGGGACAGCGCTGGTGACACCGGGGGGGGTGACCCCGTCCCCGCGGCCGCAGCGAGGTCCGGCCGCGGGACCCCCGGCACCGGGAGGAAACCGCCTCCCTTCTTTAATTTATTTATTTATTAATCGCCCTCCCGGCCGGCGCTCGCCCCGCTCCCTCCCCTCTCAGCCGGGGCCGGCTCCGGAGGGGCCGCTCCAGCCCCGAGACCCCCGGGGACCCCCGGGCAAGGGCGGCTGCAGCGCCCGGAGCCTCCGCCCGGGCTTTGGCTCCAGCCCTGGCACCGGCCCCGGGCTCCGCCGGGGGTGAGGGCGGCCCGGGGGTCACCCGGAGGCGACACCAGAATTGTTGGGAGGCTCCGGCTGGGGCTGAAATTCCGCTTACGCCGCACATTCGCCTCTCGCTGCCCTCGGCCCTTTTTGGTTGGGTTTGTTTTTTTTGTTTTTTTTTTTTGGTTTGTTTTATTTTTTTTTTTATTTTTTTTTTCTGTTGTTGGTGTTTGTTTCACGTGAGAACGAACCCCCCGCGTGTCCCGAGGCTCCGCCGCGGCTCCTGCGGTTCCCTGCCGGCCCCGGCGCCGGGGGAGGCTCCGGGAGGGGGAGAAGCCCCCGCGGCCCCCCAGCACTTATCCCCCGGGTGCCGCAGCCCGGGGGGCTCCGGGCGGGAGCAGCACTTAGGGGGACTCCAGGGCCACCCGGGATCTTTAGCACTTGTCGCCGGCTCCGCCGCAGCCCCGCGGAGCCCCGGAGCGCTTACGGGGCCGAGGCGGCCCCCCCGGGCCCCCCCTCCTGGCGCCGCAGCACTTAAGGGGCCCCTGGTGCCAGGCTGGTGCCACCGCCCGATGTCACCGCCCTGGTGGCGCCGGCGGGGGCCGAGGCGAGGGGACGGGGACAGCCGGGGGGGGCAGGAAGGGGAGGAACAGCCCCCCGCGCCCCCCAAAAGGGGCACAGCCTGGCCCGGTGGCCACCAGCCCCCCGTGGCGGTCACCAGCCCCTCGTGGTGGCCGCAGCCCCCCGTGGTGGTCACAAACCCCTCGTGGTGGTCACAAACCCCCCGTGGTGGTCACCAGCCCCTCGTGGTGGTCACAAGCCCCTCGTGGTAGCCGCAGCCCCCCGTGGCGGTCCCCAGCCCCCCCCGGCGGGCCCCAGCCCCCCCCGGGGGCCCCCCGCCCCCCGGGCAAGGGCGGCTGCAGCGCCCGGAGCCTCCGCCCGGGCTTTGGCTCCAGCCCTGGCACCGGCCCCGGGCTCCGCCGGGGGTGAGGGCGGCCCGGGGGTCACCCGGAGGCGACACCAGAATTGTTGGGAGGCTCCGGCTGGGGCTGAAATTCCGCTTACGCCGCACATTCGCCTCTCGCTGCCCTCGGAGGGTTTTGGTTGGGTTTGTTTTTTTTGTTTTTTTTTTTTGGTTTGTTTTATTTTTTTTTTATTTTTTTTTTCTGTTGTTGGTGTTTGTTTCACGTGAGAACGAACCCCCCGCGTGTCCCGAGGCTCCGCCGCGGCTCCTGCGGTTCCCTGCCGGCCCCGGCGCCGGGGGAGGCTCCGGGAGGGGGAGAAGCCCCCGCGGCCCCCCAGCACTTATCCCCCGGGTGCCGCAGCCCGGGGGGCTCCGGGCGGGAGCAGCACTTAGGGGGACTCCAGGGCCACCCGGGATCTTTAGCACTTGTCGCCGGCTCCGCCGCAGCCCCGCGGAGCCCCGGAGCGCTTACGGGGCCGAGGCGGCCCCCCCGGGCCCCCCCTCCTGGCGCCGCAGCACTTAAGGGGCCCCTGGTGCCAGGCTGGTGCCACCGCCCGATGTCACCGCCCTGGTGGCGCCGGCGGGGGCCGAGGCGAGGGGACGGGGACAGCCGGGAGGGGCAGGAAGGGGAGGAACAGCCCCCCGCGCCCCCCAAAAGGGGCACAGCCTGGCCCGGTGGCCACCAGCCCCTCGTGGTGGCCGCAGCCCCCCGTGGTGGTCACCAGCCCCTCGTGGTGGCCGCAGCCCCCCGTGGTGGTCACAAACCCCTCGTGGTGGTCACAAACCCCCCGTGGTGGTCACCAGCCCCTCGTGGTGGTCACCAGCCCCTCGTGGTGGTCACAAGCCCCTCGTGGTAGCCGCAGCCCCCCGTGGCGGTCACAAGCCCCCCGTGGCGGTCACAAGCCCCCCGTGGTGGTCACCAGCCCCCCGAGGTGGCCGGGGGTGCCAGCCCGGGCTCGGGGCTCCCCCGGCCCTGCCCGTCCGTGCCCGGGGGGCTCCGGGGCCGGCGGGGGGCAGGGGACACCCCCCGTGCCCAGCGCTGCCCGCACCGGGAAAGGTGTTTTATCGCTGGGAGGGACTGGGAGGGACTGGGAGAGACTGGGAGGGACTGGGAGGGGCCCTGGAGCCCCAAAGCCGCGGTGCCCAAAAACCCCTGCGAGGCCCCGGGGCTGGTGGCACCGAAGGGCACAGGACGGGCAGGGCGGGCACTGGGACCAGTCAGAGCTGGAAACTGGGACCAGTTATCCCCGGGCACTGAACCAGTCCCCACCGTAGGCACCACTGGTGCCAGTGCCCGGGATTAACTGGTGCCAGTGCCCAGCTCTGACTGGTGCCATTGCCCGGTTCTGACTGGTCCCAGTGCCCAGGACTAACTGGTTCCAGTGCTCGGGATTAACTGGTCCCAGTACCCAGCTCTGACTGGTCCCAGTGCCCGGGATTAACTGGTTCCAGTGCCCGGGATTAACTGGTTCCAGTGCCCGGGATTAACTGGTCCCAGTGCCCAGCTCTGACTGGTTCCAGTGCCTGGGATTAACTGGTTCCAGTGCCCAGTTCTGACTGGTCCCAGTGCCCGGGATTAACTGGTCCCAGTGCCCAGGACTAACTGGTCCCAGTGCCCAGGATTAACTGGTCCCAGTGCCCAGGATTAACTGGTCCCAGTGCCCGGCTCTGACTGGTCCCAGTGCCGGGGAGGTCCCAGGATGTTCTGGGGGGTCCGGGGTGTTCCAGGGGGTCCCGGGATGTTCCAGGGTGTCCCGGGGGGGGTCCCGGCACGGATCCAAGGGGAATCCCGGGGATGTCCCCCGGGGGGGTCCCGGGGGGGGTCCCGGGGGAGGGGGGGCGGGGCCGAACTCAGCACTTGAACAGCAAAAATATAAAAAGAAAGAATAAAAAAAAAATTCCAAAAAAAAAAATTTAAAACGTTTTTAAAAAAATAGATAAATAATCTGAGAGTTCCGAGGTTTCAGCTCCACCCCCCGCGCTCCGGGGGTGGCGATGTCCCCAATGTCACCTTTGTCACCTCCGGGGGGCAGGGGAAGGATTTGGGCTCTGGAAGGTTCCACAGGGGACCTTGGGGGTGACACTGGGGACAGAGGGGGACAGTCCGAGGCTGGCATGGGGACAAATCCCCACTGCTGACCCCTGGGTCCTTGGGGACACCGGGCATGGGGACATTGCCATGGGGACATTCAGGACAGGGCTGGGGACCTTTGGGACAGGGTTGGGGACAGCCGGGACAAGGCTGGGGACACTTGGGGTCCCAGCCAGGCCCCCCAGCTGTAAAAGGGGATTTTAGGGGGGGATTTTTAATTTTTAATGGGGGGATTTTAATGGGATTTTTAAGGAGGATTTTTAATGGGGGATTTTTAAAGAGGAGGATTTTATGGGGGGTTTTAAGGGGGGATTTCAAGGGGGGAGTTTAAGGGGGGATTTTACGAGCAGCCCCAGGAGCCGGCCGGGCTTTATGGAGCCTCATTAGGGGCTGCAGCTATGCCGGGAATGTCCCCGGCTAATTAGGGCTGGCCAGGGGACTGGGAGGTGTCACCGCGGGGGGGGGGACACGGCAGGCAGGGGGTGTCACCAGGGGAGGGGACAGGGTGGGCAGGGACCCCCAGCGTGCAAGTGAGGACTGGACACGAGGACTGGACACAAGGACGGGGCTGCAGCTGGGTCAGCGGCTCCTGCTGGGTTGGTGGCCCCATGGCCACTGGCCCTGTCCCCTCTGTCCACTCTGGCCATGTCCCCACTGTCCACTCTGGCCATGTCCCCTCTGCCCACTCTGGCCATGTCCCCATTGTCCACTCTGGCCATGTCCCTACTGTCCACTCTGGTCATATCCCCTCTGTCCACTCTGGCCATGTCCCCAGTGTCCATCTGGCCATGTCCCCTCTGTCCACTCTGGACATGTCCCCAGTGTCCATCTGGCCAGAGCCTCCAGGACACCTCAGAGGCCTCCCCGGCCCCTCCCATGCAGCTGCAGTCACCTCAGAGTGACCAGAGTGGCCACTGCCCCTGTCCCCAGAGTGGCCACTGCCCCTGTCCCCAGAGTGACCACTGCCCCTGCCACTGTCCCCAAGTGACCACTGCCCCTGTCCCCAGAGTGACCACTGCCCCTGTCACTGTCCCTGTCCTGTCCCCTTGGCCAAACCCCCAAGGGCGAGCTCGGGGAGCGCTGGAGTGACCCTGGAGTGACCCTGCGGGGACACCCCCGGTGTGGAGCGAGCCCGGGACCCCCGTGGCTGAGCCCGAGGGGGCTCTGGGGGGCACTGGGGCCGTGCCAGGGCCGGGGGACACTGGGGGGTTTTGGTTTCTCCACTCGAGGACTTGAACAAGCGCTCGCTTTTGTTCCGTTCCCCGTTCCCAGCCCCATTCCCTGCCCTGTTCCGTTCCCATTCCCTGATCCCGGCCCCGTCTCTGTTCCCCTTCTCTCATTCCTGTTCTCGTTCCCATTCCCCTTTTCATCCTCTCTTCCCATTCCCACTCCCCCATCCCTGCCCCATTCCCATTCCCCATTCCCTGTTCCCTTTTCTCATTCCCATTCCTGTTCTTGTTCCCATTCCCCTTTTCCTATTCCCACTCCTCCATTCCTTTTACCCTTTCCTCCCATTCCCTTTTCCCATTCCCCTTTTCCCTTTCCCCCATTCCCTCTCCCCATTCCCATTCCCTCTCCCCCATTCCCATTTCTGTTCCCTTTTCTCATTCCCATTCCTGTTCTTGTTCCCATTCCCTTTTCCCATTCCCATTCCCCCATTCCCTTTCCCTATTCCCTTTCCCCATCCCCTCTCCCCATTCCTATTCCCCATTCCCATTCCCCTTTTCCCATTCCCTCTCCCCACTCCCATCCCCTCTCCCCATTCCCATTCCCCATTCCCATCCCCTCTCCCCATTCCCATTCCCCTTTCCCCCACTCCCATCCCCTCTCCCCTCTCCCCATTCCCCATTCCCGGTTCCCCGTTCCCGGCCCCGCTCCCCCTGACCTAATTCGCATCCCCGGGGGGGTGACGGTGACACAAATGAGGCCCGGGGACATCCGGGGCCACCCACGGCGACAGCGGCTCCCGGGGCGGCCGCGGCCGCGGGCGACATCGGCGCTAATGAACGCAATTAACGCAATTAACGCCGGGAACGCGGCCGCGGGGCTTGGCCGCGCTCCACCCGCCTGGCCCGGGGCCACCAGAGCTGGCCCGGAGGGGACAGCGAGGGGACGGGAATTCCTGGAAAACCTCGGGAATTCCTGGATAAGCTCACTAAAAACCTTGAGACAACCTGGATTTAACACCAGGAATTCCTGGATAATCTCAGGAGCGGCTGGAAAACCCCAGGAATTCCTGGAAAACCCCAGGAATTCCTGGAAAACCTTAGGAAAACCTGGATTTAACACCAGGAATTCCTGGAAAATCTCAGGAATAGCCCAGGAAAGGAGGGAATTCCCACAGTTCCAGCCTGGCATGCAAACCCCTGGAATAAAATGGGATTTCCTTGGAAAAGGGAAGATTTTTATTGGGAAATGTGGGATGAGGGGCAGAGCCCGACCCTTCCGAGGGAAAAACCGGGAAAATAGAAAAAACTGGGAATACAAAACCCGGGAAAAACCGGGAAAAAACTGGGAGAAAACTGGGAAAAACTGAGGATTTTTGGGAAGGGAAGGAACATCCCAGGAACTTCCCGGAGTCTCCGATGTTCCCAAGGGTGGAAAAGGAGAATTCCCAAAAAAATAGAATCTCTTGGGCTGGGAATGGCCCCGGAATTCCGGGAATGGCCCCGGCCCCGCTGCTCCCAAGGCTCCGGGATGAGATTCCCGAAATTCCAAATCCTGGGAGCTCAAGTCTTCAACAGGGGAAGGGTTCAGGCAAGGCCCACCTGGAAATCCAAGAAATCCCTGGAATTCCTGCTTGGATTCCACGGGAAACTCCTAAAATTCCCATGGGATTGGGATGCCGTGATTCCCATGGGAGCTGCTCCATGAATCCCCCCAAATTCCTGGAAAAATGGCCACAAATCCCTGGAAAAACATCCCCAAAATCCCTGGAAAAACACCCCTAAATCCGTGGAAAAATAACCTCAAATCCCTGGAAAAACATCCCCAAAATCCCTGGAAAAACACCCCTAAATCCGTGGAAAAATAACCTCAAATCCCTGGGAAAACATCCCCAAAATCCCTGGAAAAACACCCCTAAATCCACAGAAAACCACCCCAAATCCATGGAAAACCCCGACATTTTGGGAATTGTGCCCCGGATTTGGGAACTCCCTCCCTCCCAAGCCCAGCTCCTCCTTCTCCCTTCGATTTTTTTGGGGAAAAATTCAAAAACTGAGCAGAAAAATCCTCCAAGGAAAGGGGAATTCCCTGGGTGGGGCTGGGAATTCCATGGAAAATTGGGAATGAGGGAAAAGGGGATCCTGACCTGAGGAGAGGCTGCAGCAGCTCAGACGATCCCGAACCTTTCTGCCCTTTTCCGCTTCTTTGCCTGGATTTGGGAAGGGCCAAAAAGAGGGAAAATTCCAGAAATCCACAGGGAGAATCCCGGGAAAGAGAGGGAGAGGGAGGGGAGTGGGAATGGGGAAATTCCTGATCCCAAAGGGCAGGAAAATCCTGGGATTTGGGGGGGTTTTCCTGAGGAAAAATGGTCCAAAGCACAGAGAATTCCAGCCCCCAAATTCCTGGGGAAAAGACCCCAAAATTCCTGGGAAAACAGTCCTGAAATCCCTGGAAAACTGGCCCTGAATTTCTGGAAAAACAGCCCCAAAATCCCTGGGAAATGAGTCCTGAAATTCCTACAAAAAATGGCCCCAAATCCCTGGGGAAAGAGTCTCAAAATCCCTGGAAAATGCCCCATAATCAATGGAAAACTCCCCTCAAATCCAGGGAAAACCCCCCAAAATCCAGGGAAAACCTCCCCACATCCCTGGATCCCTCAAGGGTTGGGAACTGGGAGATGGTTTTGGGATGAGCAAGGAAAGGGGAATTCCCTGGGTGGGGCTGGGAATTCCATGCCAGCCCCAAATCCTGGGAATTCTGGCCCCAAATCCAGGAATTCCGGCCCCAAATCCAGGAATTCTGGCCCCAAATCCAGGAATCCTGGCCCCAAATCCAGGAATTCTGGCCCCCAAAAACCCCAATTCCCAAAAACCCCAATTCCCAAAAGCTCCAATTCCCAAAAAAACAGAATTCCCAAAAACCCCAAATTCCCAAAAACCCAAAATTCCCAAAAAAACAAAATTAAAAAAACCCCAATTCCCAAAAACCCCAACTCCCAAAACCCAAAATTCCCAGAAACCCCAAATTCCCAAAAACCAGGGAAGGATGGAGCCAGCAGAGCTGGAAAATTTGGAATTTTGGGATAATCCTGGTTTGGGGAGAGTGCCCTGGCATTCCCAGAATTCCCAAAATTCCTGGAATTCCCAAATCTCACCTTCTTGGAGAGGGAGGAGACGTTGAGGCCAAACCTCTGAGCCCTTTCCTTGAGCTTTTCCAGGTTTATCTGGGAAAAGGAAATTTGGGATTCGGGATCCTCGGGATTTCCAAAGGGGAAAATTCCGGAATAAAAATTCCCAAAATTCCTCAGCTCGGGGCTTTTCCAGAGGGGCTGATCCCGGGAAAACTCCGGGGGTTTTTGGGGAATTGAAACCCAAAATTCCAGCTGGGATCCCAAAATTCCAGCTCCTCATCTCAAAATTCCACCTTAATTCCCACCCATTCCAACTGAATTCTCCAAAATTCCACCCAAATTCCCAAAATTCCACCCAAGTTCCCACGGGAATCCCCCAGAACTCCACCCAAATTCCCAAAATTTCAACCAAATTCCCACTGGAATTACCCAAAACTCCACTCAAATTCCCAAAATTCCCTGGGAATCCCAGATTTCCTCACCGTGGGTTTGGAGTCTGCTGAGAGCCCTGGAAAAGGAGAAAATTCCCATCAGGAATTGGAAAAAATTCCTGGATTTCAGCCCAGAACTGGGAATTCCGAGGAATTCCAGGAAAATCCCAAGCCTGGATTTTTCAGGATGAGAAATCCCAGGAAAATCCAGGATAATTTGGGGTCTTTTCCCACCAAATCCCGAATTTCCCCCTCCCAGAAATGAGGGAAAAGGGGAATTTGCAATGCCAGGGAATTCCCAGAATTCCAGAAATTCCCAGAATCCCCACTCCAGGAATTCCCTCTCCTCACCTTTTGTGGGAACCGTGGCCAAGCCAAACCTGTGGGAATGAAAAAATCAGGAATTAGGGCTGGAATTTTGGGAATTAGGGCTGGAATTTTGGGAATCAGGGCTGGAATTTTGGGAATCAGGGCTGGAATTTTGGGAATCAGGGCTCCTGGGATAGGAGGGATTTGGAATCCTCTGGGAATTCCATCCCAGGCAGGAATTCCTTCCCAAAATTCCCACAAAATCCCAAAAAAATTCCCACAAATTCACTTTACCCAGAGTTCCCTGATCCAGGGATTTGGAATCCTCTGGGAATTCCAGCCCAGCCCCACCCCCAGGCAGGGATCCCCCCCAGAATTCCCAAATTCCCGCGGAATTTCCCCCGGAAATTCCCAAATTCCTCCCAGAATTCCCAAATTTCCAGGCTCACCGTGCTGCCCTCGCTGCCTTTTTGCTCTCCAGGCTGACGAGGACGTTGAACCTCTCGGCCCTTTTCTGCATCCTCTGGAAAAATGGGAAAGGAAAAAGGGAATTCTGGGAATTGCCAGGGGAAAACTGGGAATTTACAGCTGGAAACTGGGATTTTCCAGGGAAAAATGACAATTTTCTAGCAAAAAAATGGGACTTTACAGGGGAAAATTGGGATTTTCCAGGCGAAAATGGGGATTTTCTAGTGAAAAACTGGGATTCTCCAGAAAAAAACTTGGGATTTCCAGAATAAAATTGGGATTTTTCAGGGAAAAATAGGATTTCCAGCAGGAAAGAGGGATTTTTCAGAAAAAAATTGGGATTTTCCAGGGGATTTTACCTCCATCTGGGAGATTTCTGAGGAGATTTTCACCACTTTCTTCTCCTGGATTCTGAGAAAAGTTTGGGAAGAAGAAGGAAAAGGTCAGGGATGCTCCAGGTGGGATCTGCCCCCATTCCCAAAAATCCCTGATCCCCCAGCCCCTTTCCCAGCCCCCCATTCCCAGATTTTTCTGGGAATTCTCCTCACACGTCGGGCGACTTCACCGGCGCCTCCTCCACCTTCACGGGCGGCTCCGGGGCCTTGGGCTCCTCCTCCTGGAAATCCATGGGAAATATGGAAAATCCACTGAAAATCCATTGAAAATACGGAAAATCCATGGGAAACTCATGAAAAATCCATGGGAAATCCATGGAAAATGTGGAAAATCCATGGGAAATATGGAAAATCCATGGGAAATTCATGGGAAATCCATGAGAAATCCACGGGAAATGTGGAAAATCCATGGGAAAACCACAGGAAATATAGAAAATCCATTTGAGAAATCCATGAAAAATGTGGAAAATCCATGGGAAAACCACGGGAAATATAGAAAATCCATTAAAAACCCATGGGAAATGTGGAAAATTCATGGGGAATCCATGGGGAATCCACAGGAAATCCACGGGAAAGCCATTGGAAATCCATAAAAAATCCATAAAATTCATGGAAAAACCATGGGAAATCCACGGGAAATGTGGAAAATCCATGGGAAATCCACTAAAAACCCATAAAATCCATGGGAAATCCATGGGAAATGTGGAAAATTCATGGAAAATCCATGGGAAACCCATGGGAAATCCATTAAAAACCCATAAAAATCAAGGAAAATCCATGGGAAATCCACTAAAAACCCATGAAATCCATGGAAAATCCAAAGAAAACCCATAAAATCCATGGGAAATCCATAAAACCCATGGAAAACCCCTGGGAAATCCACAGAAAATCCATAAAATTAATGGAAAATATTTGGGAAATTCATGGGGAAAATCCACAAAATCCACAAGATCCACAGAAAGTCTTTAAAATCTGTAAAAACCATGGGAAATCCATGGGAAATGCATAAAACCCACTAAATCCATGGAAAATCCACGGAAAACCCATAAAATCCACCCCGGCCCGTGGCCATTCCCAAGGAAAAATCCCCAGATTTCCACAAAATCCCCCAAAATGTCCCAAATCCCCCCTTTTCCCAGCATTCCCCCATCCCGGGACGGCATCAATCCCAAAACCCGAGATCCCAAAACTCAGGATCCCCCCCAATCCCAAATTCCCGGCATCTGGAGCATGCCAGGCGCCAAACCCAGCGGATTTAGCCCCAAAAAAAAGCTGGGAAAAGGGTTGGGATTGTGGAATGCTGCCTCATTCCCAGCCCAACACCCCGAAAAGCGGGATGACCCCAGCAGTGCCCACCTCGATCTCCTCTCCCAGCACGTCCTCCTCGTTGGGCTCCTCCTCGGCTGGGGGGAAACAGGGAAAGGTCAGGGCGGGGGAATTCCCAGAACAAGGAGGGTGGGGGAGTTCGGGGGGATTCCAGGCGGGGGCTGTGCGGGGTTTGGGTCTGGGGGCGCCCACCGTGCTCCTCCAGGTAGGCCTGCAGCCGATGGATCAGGTCCTGCTTGTTGCCTTTGGCCTCCAGCCCCCGCGCCAGGCACTCCTGCTTCAGCTCGGCCAGCTGCACGGGGGGCAGGGAACGAGGGGCATTTGGGAATGAGGGGGATGACCCCCCCGGAGCCCCCTCAGAGCCCCGGCCCGTTTCCCGCCGTTCCCCCGCGCGCTCCCTCAGCCCCAGCCGCCGTCCCCGCGCTCGCCCCGGGGCTGTCCCGCCTGCCGCGCTCTGTCCCCGCTGTCCCCGCGCTGTCCCCGCCGTTCTCCCGGCGCCGTTCCCGCTCCCAGCGGCACCTTCAGCTTGTGCAGCTCCACCGGCTCCGCCGCCATCTTGTCACCCCCGCGCCGGCCCCGCCCCTCACGCCGCACTGACCAATCAGCGCCGCGCGTCCTCTGCCGCACCGCCCAAACCCGCCGCTCGCCATTGGCCGGCGCGGCAGGCAGCGCCCGCCGCTGATTGGCCTGTCTTGAGCTGGGGGCGGGACCATATTGACTGACGTGCAGATGAACCAATAGGAATACGGAGATGCCGAGCGGCGGCCAATGGAAAGAGAGGGTGGGAAACGCGGACTTCCGGGAGGTGAGGCCGGGACCGGAGCGGGGTCATTGAGGGACTCGGGTGTAATTAATTATTGCTCATTATCTCACTCCATTAGGCTATTAATATGCCTAGATAGAGTCAGATATTTATTTTTTCCTGCTCAGATTATTGCATATTTATTGCTTATACTATTGCTATATTTCTTACTATGTTGTTTTTAATGAAAATACGCTATTTGCTATGATTTAAGCTTTTTATTATGTAGGTGTTAAGTAAAAGTTCTTTACATTGTGGTTATTTAATTGCACTCTTGTGTATTAAGTACTTTGTATTAATTTTTTATTATAAATTACCTCATTAATTCTCCTCCTTCACCCAGGGGTGCAAAGCACGAATTTGGGGTCATTTTCCAGAACATTCCAGAGTTTCCCACTCCCTTCCCCTCTCCAGGTGCTGCTCCCAAGGGCTAATGTTTTTTTCTGTTATTAAGTTGATTACAACTTAATTGATTAATAATCTTACTTAGTAGTACTGTATATCTTTCCATTTGTTATTATAACCACTTCGAGTCTCCACAACAGCCCATTTCCCGCAGCTCTCGAGCCACAACCACCTCTTATTATCATTTAAAAAAGTAAACAATTTAAATAATTAAACTAATTAGAATTATTTCAATAATCTCCCCTATGGATATGGCAGCCGGCATGATGGGTGTGGCGGCCGCCATGATGGGTGTGGAAGCTGACCCGCCACAACCCCGGTAACGGCGCCTGAAGCGGCACCAGCGCGGCCCTGCCCACACTCAAGATGGCGCCGCACGCTGAGGCCTCACCGGTACCGCCAACATGGCGGCGCCCACTGCGGGGGTCAGTGACGTCATTCTATTTCCGGTGAGAGCCGGAAGTGGTGCTGCCACGGCGGCCCGGAGCTCCCGGGGGGTTGGTGAGGCTGGGGGAGCTTTGGGGACACCGGGGGGGGCCTTGGGGACCCCCAAACCAACCCCTATTTCCACACCTCCCTTATTAAATCAACCTCCGCCTTTTTTTATTTTTTAACACAAAAACCACCACTCGATTTTCTTTAAAAAACCCAAATAAAAAGAAAAAAAAATAGATTTTTTTATTCCAAGCCCTTTTTTTTTTTTTTTTTGGGGTGGGGATCGGGGGTCTCCTCAGCGCGGCAGCGGCCGCCGCCCCTTCTTCCTCCTCTTGTGCTTCGTGTCCCCTCTGGGGGGGCCCCCCTGGGCCTGGGGGGGTCCCTGGGGGGGTCCCGCAGCCCCGTGGGGGGCGGGGAAAGCCCCCCCGGCCTCGCCCGGGACCGGATTCCCCTGGAAAACGCGGGCCAGGAAATCCTGGAGGTCAGCGGGGGAGGGGGGGCTGCCCTTGGGGGGGGCCCTGGGGGGAGAGAAAAGGGGGTTGGGGCACAGCTGGAGCTACCTGGGCACACCTGGATGCACCTGGGCACACCTGGATGTACCTAGACAACCCTTGGGCACACCTGGGTAGACTTTGACACACCTGGGCACACCTGGACACACCTGGGCACACCTGGGCACCCTTGGAGCCTCCTCCCCCAGGACTGACCGCTGGCATCCAGACCCTGGACACCCCCAGGACATCCCAGGACCCCCCTGGGGACAACCCCCAACACTGACCACTGGTGTCCAGCCCCTGGACACCCCTGGGGACCCCCCCAGCACTGACCGCTGGCGTCCGGCGGGCGTGGCTGTCCTGGCGCCGAAGGACAGGTGGTAGGGGACACGGTGACTGTCCGGGGAGATGGCCACGCGCTGGCAGCCCGCCCACTCTGGGGACAGACAGGGGACACGGTCACGGTGACAGCAGAGAGACCCCTGGGGTGGGCATGGTCACCCCCCTGAGTGACCTGGGCATGTTGACATCAGAGACCCCAGGGATGGTCATGGTGTCCCCTTGGTCATGGTGACATCAGAGAGACCTTGGGGTGGGCATGTGTCCCCTTGGTCATGGTGTCCCTCTGGTCATAGTGTCCCCCCAGTCACGGTGACAGCAGAGAGACCCCTGGGATGGTCATGGTGTCCCCTTGGTCATGGTGTCCCTCTGGTCATGGTGACACCAGAGAGACCCCTGGGATGGTCATGGTGTTCCCCAAGAGGGACCTGGTCATGGTGTCCCCTTGGTCATGGTGTCCCCCCAGTCATGGTGACACCAGGGACACCTCCGTGGTCATGGTGACACCAAGGACACCCCAGGATGGTAATAGTGTGCCCTTGGTCACGGTGTCCCCTTGCTCATGGTGACATGAGGGACCCCCAGAGATGGTCATGGTGTCTGTCCCCTGGTCATGCTGTCCCCTGGCCATGGTGACACCAGGGACACCACGGGACCTGTCACCCCCTGGGTGGGTGTGGCCACCCCTGTCTCTGGGGCTGTGTCACCGCCAGGTGTGTCCGTGTCCCTCACCGGTGACGTCGTAGATGTGGCCGTCCATGCGGGCCAGGTAGGTGACCTTGAGGCCGAGCAGGCTGGACTCTGCCCACAGGTCACCCTCTTCGGCCGCGTGCCACGCCCCGCACGGGGCACAGTACCGGCCCCCGCGGGGGTCCCTGTCCAGCTGGAACCGCCTGTGGGGACATTGGGGACACTGTGACACCCCCAGGGCACAGTACCAGCCCCCGCGGGGGTCCCTGTCCAGCTGGAACCGCCTGTGGGGACATTGGGGACACTGTGACACCCCCCAGGGACACACGTGAGACCCCCAAGAGAGGATGTCACCCCCCAAGCCCCCCCCCAGAACACAAGGTCACCCAAGCCCCCCAGGACACGATGTGCCCCCCACTGCTGTCCCCATTGTCCCCAGTGTCTCCACAGTGTCCCTGCAGTGTCCCCACTGTCCCCACAGCGTCCCAGGTGTCCTCACTGTCCCGTGTCCCTGCTGACCCCACTGTCCATGCAGTGTCCCCACTGTCCCTATAGTCCCTGGTGTGCATGGTGTCCCCACTGTCTGCAGTGTCCCTGCAGTGTCCCCACAGTGTCCCTGCTGTCCTCCTTGTCCCCACTGTCCCCATTGTCCCTGCAGTGTCCACTGTCCCTGGTGTCCCTGCTGTCCCCGCAGTGTCCCAGGTGTCCTCACTATCCCTGCAGTGTCCCCGCTGTCCCCCCAGTGTCCCCGCTGTCCCAGTGTCCCCGCAGTGTCCCTGGTGTCTGTGGTGTCCCCGCTGTCCCCATTGTCCCTGCAGTATCTCAGGTGCCCCACAGTGTCCCAGCTGTCCCCACCGTCCCTGGTGTCCCCGCTGTCCCCCCAGTGTCCCCGCTGTCCCTGGTGTCCCAGCTGTCCCCACTGTCCCCGCAGTCCCTACAGTGTCCCAGTTGTCCCCGTTGTCCCCCCAGTGTCCCCGCTGTCCCCACCTGTGGCGTCCCCCGCAGCGGGTGCAGCCCATGGCGTCCATGGCGTCCCTGAGCTCCTCCTGCAGCCGGCCCAGGAACGCGCCCAGCGCCCGCGCCAGCTCCCTCCGCGCCAGCTGCTTCCTGCGCCCAAAAAACGGGAATTAGGACCCAAAATATGGGATTGGCCCCCCAAAATATGGGATTGGCACCCCAAAATATGGGATTGGCACCCTGAAAAATGGCATTGGCACCCCAAAAATGGGATATACGGCACCAAAAACGCGCCCAGCGCCCGCGCCAGCTCCCCCCGCGCCAGCTGCTTCCTGCGCCCAAAAAACGGGAATTAGGACCCAAAATATGGGATTGGCACCCCAAAATATGGGATTGGCACCCCAAAATATGGGATTGGCACCCTGAAAAATGGGATTGGCACCCCAAAAATGGGATATACGGCACCAAAAACGCGCCCAGCGCCCGCGCCAGCTCCCTCCGCGCCAGCTGCTTCCTGCGCCCAAAAAATGGGAATTAGAACCCAAAATATGGGATTGGAACCCCAAAAAATGGCATTGGCACCCCAAAATATAGGATTGACCCCCAAAAATGGGATATATGGCACTAAAAACGTGCCCAGTGCCCGTGCCAGCTCCCCCTGAGCCAGCTGCTTCCTGGGACCCAAAAAATGGGAATTAGAACCCAAAATACGGGAATTAATACTCAAAATATGGCATTGGCACCCTGGAAAATGGGATTGGCACCCCAAAAATGGGATATACGGCACCAAAAACGCGCCCAGCGCCCGCGCCAGCTCCCTCCGCGCCAGCTGCTTCCTGCGCCCAAAAAATGGGAATTAGAACCCAAAATATGGGATTGGAACCCCAAAAAATGGCATTGGCACCCCAAAATATAGGATTGACCCCCAAAAATGGGATATATGGCACTAAAAACGTGCCCAGTGCCCGTGCCAGCTCCCCCTGAGCCAGCTGCTTCCTGCACCCGAAAAATGGGAATTAATACCCAAAATATGGGAGTGGCACCCCAAACCCAGGATTCCCACCCCAATACCTGGGATTCTGCACCCAAAACGGGAGGTCTCGCAGCCCCAAAACCACAATTCCCACCCCAAAACATGGGATTCCCACCCAAAAACCTGGGATTGCCACCCCTAAATATGGGATTCCCACCCCAAAATATGGGATTCCCACCCCAAAATATGGGATTCCCACCCCAAAATATGGGATTCCCACCCCAAAATATGGGATTCCCACCCCAAAATATGGGATTCCCACCCCAAAAATTGGGATTTACACCCCAAAATGTGGGATTCACGCCCCAAAATTTAGAATTCACTCCCCAAACTCACGCCTGGTACTCGCGCCGCCTCTCGGGGCTGCTCACCCGCTCCCAGCCCACCCCAAAAACTGGGATTAACACCCCAAAAATTGGGATTTACACCCCAAAACGCGGGATTGACCCCCCAAACTCACGCCTGGTACTCGCGCCGCCTCTCGGGGCTGCTCACCCGCTCCCAGCCCGCCCGCAGCACCTTGAACGCCGCCTCCGCCCGGGGGTCGCGGCTCTTGTCGGGGTGCACCTGCCAAGGCACGATGGGATTGGTCCCCAGCGTGTCCCCAAGGTGTCCCCAGGATGTCCCCAAGGTGTCCCCAAGACCCACCAGCACCGCCAGCCTGCGGTACGCCCGCCGCAGCTCGGTGTCGCTGGCCGTGGGCTCCACCCCGAGCACCCGGAACGGGTCCAGCTCCTCCTCGGCCACCTCGGCCATGGCCACCAAACGTGTCACCTCCTCGTCACCGCCGCCGCCGCCACCTCGCTGGCTCGCCCGCCGCCGGAGCCACTCGGCCAGCAGCTCCCGGGAACGGCGGAGCCCCGCGGAGCCGCCGCGCAGGAAGGAGCGGAGCCCGCCAAGGAGGAGGAGGAGGAGGAGGAAGAGCAGCGCCAGGAGAGCCCCGAGCAGGCGCAGGCACAGCGCGACCCCCGCCCGGGCCACCCGCAGGGTCCCCCGCTGTCCCCCGGCGGTGTCGCCGAGCTGCTGGTCGGGCTCGTCGTGGCGTTGTCGCCGCCGAGCCCCGCGGGGGTCGCCGTTGTCCCGCGGGGGTCCCCGGTGGCGGCAGCCGAGACCGCACGGGAGGTCCCGGGAGGGGCTCGGGGGAGCGGCCGGGGGACCCCGGCAGCCACAGCGACCCCCGGGGGAGGGGACACCCTCAGGGCTGGGGACATCCTCGGTGGTGGGGACACTCCCGGGGCTGGTGACATTGCTGGGGCTGGGGACACTCCCGGGGCTGGTGACACTCCCGGGGTTGGGGACACTCCCGGGGTTGGGGACACTCCTGGGAGTCTCAGGTTTGGGGACACGGCCGGAGTTGGGGACACTTCTGGAGCTGGGGATGCCCTCAGGGTTGGGGACACTCCCAGGGCTGGTGACACCCCGAGGACCGGGGATGCCACCGGAGCTGAGGACACTCCCGGGGTTGGGGACAGTCCCAGTGTTGGGGACATCCTCAGGAGTGGGGACACCCCCGGGGCTGGTGACACCCTCAGAGTTGGGGACAGTCCTGGGGTTGGGGACACTGCCAGAACTGGGGACACCCTCAGGGACACCCTCAGGGTTGGGGACACCCGGGGGTTTGGGGACACTGCCAGAACTGGGGACACCCTCAGGGACACCCTCAGGGTTGGGGACACCCGGGGGTTTGGGGACACTCCCAGAGTTGGGGACACCCTCAGAACTGGGGACACCCCCGGGGTTGGGGACACTCCCGGGGGGTTTGGGGACAGGAGTGTCGCGCTCTCCGCTCTCGTCCTCGCCGCCCCCCGCCGTGCCGGTGCCGGTGGCGGTGCCGGTGCCGGTGGCGCGGGGGTGGCCGCAGCTCCCGCTCCGGGCGGCTCCGGAGCCCCCCCCGGGCCCGCTGCCCCCGGGGGTCGCCTCCCGGTACCGGGGCCGCTCCATCGCTGCGGGCTCAGGTCACGGCCATCCCTGGGGGACACACAGGGGACAGCGGGGTCAGCACCCCCGGCACCGGCACGGCGGAGAGCCCCGGAGGGACCCCTGAGCCGCACCGGGACCCCCAGAACGGCCCCGGGACCCCCAGAACGGCCCCGGGACCCCCAGAACGGCCCCGGGACCCCCAAAATGGGCCCGAGACCCCCGAACCGAGCACCGGGATCCCCCAGAATGGACCCGGGGACCCCCAAAACGGCCCCGGGACCACCTACCAGGGCTCTCTTGACGTACTCCTCCTGGGCCGCCTTGGTGTTGTCCCTGTCCCCAATGTCCCCAATGTCCCCAAGACTCCAATGTCCCCACCTCACCCTCTGAACCCACCTCAGATGTGGTTCCCACCTCTCCGTGGCTGACCCAACTCAAGGAACACCCAACGTCCCTCATGTCCCCAAGTCCCCTCAATGTCCCCAATGTCTCTGAGGTGTGCCCAAGGTCCCTGAAGTGTCCTTGAGGTCCCCAAGGTGTCCCCAAGACCCCCAAGTGTCCCCACCTCACCATCTGAACCCACCTCAGATGTGGCTCCTCTGCTCCCTGCTCTCTCCATGCTTGGCCCAACTCAAGGAACACCCAACATCCCTCAATGTCCCCAAGTCCCTGAGGTGTCCTCAAGGTCCCCAAGGTGTCCCCAAGGTGTCCCCAAGACCCACCAGCACCGCCAGCCTGCGGTACGCCCGCCGCAGCTCGGTGTCGCTGGCCGTGGGCTCCACCCCGAGCACCCGGAACGGGTCCAGCTCCTCCTCGGCCACCTCGGCCATGGCCACCAAACGTGTCACCTCCTCGTCACCGCCGCCGCCGCCACCTCGCTGGCTCGCCCGCCGCCGGAGCCACTCGGCCAGCAGCTCCCGGGAACGGCGGAGCCCCGCGGAGCCGCCGCGCAGGAAGGAGCGGAGCCCGCCGAGGAGGAGGAGGAGGAGGAGGAAGAGCAGCGCCAGGAGAGCTCCGAGCAGGCGCAGGCACAGCGCGACCCCCGCCCGGGCCACCCGCAGGGTCCCCCGCTGTCCCCCGGCGGTGTCGCCGAGCTGCTGGTCGGGCTCGTCGTGGCGTTGTCGCCGCCGAGCCCCGCGGGGGTCGCCGTTGTCCCGCGGGGGTCCCCGGTGGCGGCAGCCGAGACCGCACGGGAGGTCCCGGGAGGGGCTCGGGGGAGCGGCCGGGGGACCCCGGCAGCCACAGCGACCCCCGGGGGAGGGGACACCCTCAGGGCTGGGGACATCCTCGGTGGTGGGGACACTCCCGGGGCTGGTGACATTGCTGGGGCTGGGGACACTCCCGGGGCTGGTGACACTCCCGGGGTTGGGGACACTCCCGGGGTTGGGGACACTCCTGGGAGTCTCAGGTTTGGGGACACGGCCGGAGTTGGGGACACTTCTGGAGCTGGGGATGCCCTCAGGGTTGGGGACACTCCCAGGGCTGGTGACACCCCGAGGACCGGGGATGCCACCGGAGCTGAGGACACTCCCGGGGTTGGGGACAGTCCCAGTGTTGGGGACATCCTCAGGAGTGGGGACACCCCCGGGGCTGGTGACACCCTCAGAGTTGGGGACAGTCCTGGGGTTGGGGACACTGCCAGAACTGGGGACACCCTCAGGGACACCCTCAGGGTTGGGGACACCCGGGGGTTTGGGGACACTGCCAGAACTGGGGACACCCTCAGGGACACCCTCAGGGTTGGGGACACCCGGGGGTTTGGGGACACTCCCAGAGTTGGGGACACCCTCAGAACTGGGGACACCCCCGGGGTTGGGGACACTCCCGGGGGGTTTGGGGACAGGAGTGTCGCGCTCTCCGCTCTCGTCCTCGCCGCCCCCCGCCGTGCCGGTGCCGGTGGCGGTGCCGGTGCCGGTGGCGCGGGGGTGGCCGCAGCTCCCGCTCCGGGCGGCTCCGGAGCCCCCCCCGGGCCCGCTGCCCCCGGGGGTCGCCTCCCGGTACCGGGGCCGCTCCATCGCTGCGGGCTCAGGTCACGGCCATCCCTGGGGGACACACAGGGGACAGCGGGGTCAGCACCCCCGGCACCGGCACGGCGGAGAGCCCCGGAGGGACCCCTGAGCCGCACCGGGACCCCCAGAACGGCCCCGGGACCCCCAGAACGGCCCCGGGACCCCCAAAATGGGCCCGAGACCCCCGAACCGAGCACCGGGATCCCCCAGAATGGACCCGGGGACCCCCAAAACGGCCCCGGGACCCCCAGAATGGGCCCGGGACCCCCGAACCGAGCTCCGGCACTCCCCACAACGGCCCCGGGACCCCCAAAATGGACCCGGGGACCCCCAGAACGGCCCCGGGACCCCCAAAATGGGCCCGAGACCCCCGAACCGAGCTCCGGCACTCCCCACAACGGCCCCGGGACCCCCAAAATGGACACGGGGACCCCCAGGATGGCCCCGGGATACCTGAACCGAGGCCTGGGACCCCCAGAACGAATCCGGGACCCCCCAAAATGGATCCGGGGACCCCTGAACCGAGCACCGGGACCCCCAGAACGGCCCCGGGACCCCCAAAAATGGAGCCGGGACCCCCAGAACGGCCCCGGGACCCCCAAAAATGGAGCCGGGACCCCCAGAACGGCCCCGGGACGCCCCGAGCGACTCCCGGGACCCGGGGATCCCCCGATCAACCCCCGCGACGGCCCCGGGAACCCCGAAATCCGGTCCCGGGGAACACCCTGACCCCCCCTGAATAGAACCGGGACCCCCTGAACCGGGCCCGGGACCCCCAAACCGACGCCCGGGATCCCATAAACCGGCCCTGGGAGCCCCGGGCGCTCGGAGCGGCACTCGGAGCGCCGGTACCGGGGGGTTCGGGAGCGGCTCCGGGGGGTTCGGGACTCACCACGCCGGTACCGGCGGGGGGGGGGGGGGGGGGGGGTCGCGCCGCCGCCCCCCCCGAGTCCCCTCACGGCCGCACTTCCGCTTTCCGCCCGCCGCCGCGCTGGCCACGCCCACTTCCGGGGTGGGGCAGAACGCGAGAGGGGCGCGCGGCGCGGTCCTTAAAAGGCAATGGCCACGCCCCCTTACGGCCACGAGCCTGCCCTTATATGGCTATAATCACGCCCATTAACGTATTGGCAACGCCCTTTAAATCTGCATAGCCACGCCTCTTAGTTGGCTAGAGACACGCCCCTTACGGGGCAAGGGTTCTTAAAGAGGCAACGCTTCTTAAAGGGGCAACGCCGCGGTGCCCTGTCCCTGGCCCCCCCGCTCACGAGTCCAGCTCGAGCGCGCGCAGCTCCTCCTCGAGCTCGCGGCGCCGCCGCAGCTTCTGCAGCTGCTCGGGGCTGGGCCGGGGCAGCGCGCCGCGCTCCAGCCGCAGCCGCAGCTCCTCCACCTGCCGCAGCTTCTTCCGCAGGCTCTTCATGCGCCGCCCGCGCTCCGCGCCCCCCGCGCCGCCCCCCGGCTCCGCTCCTGGCTCATCCCCCGCGGGACTCCCGGCGTTCACCCCGCAGGCGCTGCCGGAATCATTCGCGGTGTTGCCGCTTGAATTCTTCACCGGATTGCTTCCTGGGTTATTGTTCCCTAAGTTATTCCCTAAATTATTATTCCCTAAATTATTATTCCCCAAATTATTATTCCCCAAATTATTACTCCCCAAATTATTACCCCCCAAATTATTACTCCCCAAATTATTACCTCCCAAATCATTACCCCCCAAATCATTACCCCCCAAATCATTACCCCTCAAATCATTACCCCCCAAATTATTACCCCCCAAACTATAATAAAATAAAATAAAAAATAAAAAATAAAGTAAAATAAAATAAAATTAAACAAAAGTAAAATGAAAAATGAAACAAAAACTAAAATAAGATGAAACAAAAAGAAAATTAAACAAAAATAGAATGAAAAAACCGAAACAAAATGATTCAAAACAAAACCAACCCAAAAAAAAAAATCAAAAATAAGTTCTAAAAAAATAAAAAAAAAAAACAAAACAAAAAACAAAAAAAACCAAAAAAAATTTAAAAAAAAACAAAAACAAAAAAAAAACCAAAAAAAAAACCACAAAAAAAATTTTAAAAAACCTAAAAAAACCAAACAAAAAATAAAAAAAAAAAAAAAAACCACGAAAAAAATCCCAAAAAAACACAAAAAAACCCAAAAAATCCCAAAAAAATCCAAAAAACCAAAAAAAAACCCCAAAAAATCCCAAAAAAATTTAAAAAAAAATCCGAAAAAAATCCCAAAAAAACCCAAAAAAATCCGAAAAAAATAAAAATAAAACCACAAAAAAACCCCCAAAAAAACCCCAAAAAAATCCGAAAAAATTAAAAATAAAACCACAAAAAAACCCCAAAAAACCCCCAAAAAACCCGAAAAAATTAAAAATAAAACCCCCAAAAACCCCCCAAAAAACCCGAAAAAAATTAAAACCAAGCCCCCCGCACCCGCTCACGAGTCCAGCTCGAGCGCGCGCAGCTCCTCCTCGAGCTCGCGGCGCCGCCGCAGCTTCTGCAGCTGCTCGGGGCTGGGCCGGGGCAGCGCGCCGCGCTCCAGCCGCAGCCGCAGCTCCTCCACCTGCCGCAGCTTCTTCCGCAGGCTCTTCATGCGCCGCCCGCGCTCCGCGCCCCCCGCGCCGCCCCCCGGCTCCGCTCCTGGCTCATCCCCCGCGGGATTCCCGGCGTTCACCCCGCAGGCGCTGCCGGAATCATTCGCGGTGTTGCCGCTTGAATTCTTCACCGGATTGCTTCCTGGGTTATTGTTCCCTAAGTTATTCCCTAAATTATTATTCCCTAAATTATTATTCCCTAAATTATTATTCCCTAAATTATTACTTCCCAAATCATTACCTCCCAAATCATTACCCCCCAAATCATTACCCCCCAAATTATTACCCCCCAAACTATTATTTCCCGAATTATTACTCCCCAAATTATTATTTCCCAAATTAGCGTTGCCCAAATTAGCGTTCCCTAAATTATTCCCCGAATTATTGTCGCTCCCAGAATTATTCCCGTTTTTAACCCCGGGATTCGCTGAATTCTTCTGGGGATTTTTGGCGGGATTCTTGTTGGAATTTGATGAATTTTTCTCGGAATTCTTGGCGGGATTTTTGCCCGAATTCCCAGGGTTTTCCACGTTTTTCTCCCCCGCTGTCCCTCCTCCTCCTCCTCCGTTGTGGCCGTCCCCTGTTCTTCCTCCTCCTCCTGCTCTTCCTCCTCCTCCGGCGCTGTTCCTGTCCCCTCCTCCTCCTCCTCCTCCTCCTCCTCCTCCTCCCATCCCGATTTTTTCCAGCGCCTGGCTCAGTCCGTCCCCGTGGTTTTCCCGATCTTTTTCCTGCTGCTGTTTCCTTTTCTCTTTGCGTTTCAGGTTCCTCCGGGCGCTTTTGGATAAAGTTGGGGAGGGGTCGCAGCCCTCGGGCCGCCCGGGGGTCCCTCGGCTCGGTGGGGAGGGGGTGGGCTCGGGGTTTAAACCCGGGGGCAGTTCGGGTTTGCTCCGGAAGAATTTCACGTATTTGTTCTCGTAGCTGTGGGGAGGGGAAGAAAGGAAAATAAAAAGGAAATAAAAATTNGGGCTCGGGGTTTAAACCCGGGGGGAGTTCGGGTTTGCTCCGGAAGAATTTCACGTATTTGTTCTCGTAGCTGTGGGGAGGGGAAGAAAGGAAAATAAAAAGGAAATAAAAATT